TGCAGTCAATAGTTCGTGGGCATTTTTTTTTTTTAGTTTTTTTTTTTTTTAGAATATTTTAGGATGTAATAAAGAGAGAAATGATTCACATGGTATTATCAAGCTTATTTTGCCTTTTATAGACCGTTTTGTTTCTCAGACTCTCACATTAAACACGAACTTACACCAATAACAATATTCTAATGCAGTTGTAATCAGGTACGACATATAGTAATGCATTCATCTAAAGCAGCCAAAGCACACACAAAGCTCATGGAAAATCAAATCAGGCAGCGCAATGATTCTCGAATGATTCTAGGAATGGTTAAGTTGTCTCTTTCATCTGTTGATCCACAGTGGCCAGTTTCTCAAGTTCTTTTAACTGAAAGAAAAGAACAAGAATTAAATGCAGTACTTATGTTTCAAAACTCTTAAGTGATGCTTAAAAACTATTGCTTTAATCAGTCCCTGGAGTTTTGTGTGTATGCGCAATCATTGCAGTCTGCCATAAAGTTGTTTCTTTATGAATGAAAGAAATTTTGTTGCTCTAGTGAAATATACTATTTCCACATTCCCAGTAGGAAAGTTATAGGGAAGTACCTTTAGTTATTCAATATCCCTGCCATGTTGAGGATGATGCTCTTAGCATGCTGAGTTTATCCCTGTACACCCTTAAGTAAATGCAATATTACTTTGTAGTTTGCAGGCATATCAGATAACTTCGATATCCTTGTAATAGCACAACATTTGGCTTAAGTAGTCACTGGAGAGACATTGATGCTGGAATGTTATTGCCAATTTTTGGTGAAGCTAAAGTTGCATGTAGTAAAGAACTGAAAGGAGTTACAGTCTACCCACATCCTTTCTTAGTCATGCAAGTTATGCATGTTGACCTCTAGCAAGCAGAGATACGGAAAAGCTACTTAAAGTGGAAAATCTGGCATCATTTTCAGGAGCTCCATGAAGCAAGTCTCGATTGTGTTGATATCGTTTATTGCTTGCAATGCATCCCTGTCTTGTCCTAAACGACTTAGGTCAGTGAATGCTTTTTTATTTCCATTTGTAATATAGCATGTAGACTTTGTGTGGCCATTTGTTAAATTGGGGTTGTGAAACCTAGTGCAGATGTCTTCAACCCTGTTCCTGGAGTCCCACTGTCCTGCAGAGTTTAGATCCAGCCCTAATCAAACACACCTGAGGATTGCTTGAAAATCACAGGCAGGTGTGTTGTAGCAGGTTAGAAATAAGCTGTCCAGGACAGTGGGTCTCCAGGAGCAGGTTTGAAGACCTGGTGCATTGGTCCCCAAACCATTCCCAAGGTTTCCCCAACAGTGCACATTTTGGATATCTCTTATTTGACACACCCATTCCAGGACTTGCCATTTCTTGCCAAGTTTATGAGTTGAATCAGAATAGGGAGACACCAAAAATGTGTGTACTGTCAGACAAAATGTGCAAAAAACTTTATCTTTAGGGGTACAACAACTTGTCACTGGGGCAGTAACCTTAACGGGACATATTTATACTTTATCTATCCTAAAAGGTACATATTAATACCTTGTAGTAATATGGACCCTTAAGATAGTACTATGACCCTTTTAGGGGTACGAAGATGTCCCTTTAAGGGCACTGCCCCAATGAAATGCTGTTGAACCCCTGAAGATACAATTTTTGCACATTTTTGCTGAGAGTCTATTGTTAAGGGGCCTTCAAGAACAGGGTTGGGAACCATTGGCCTAGCGGTTAAAGGTCTTATGGTTTCAGACCTAACAAGTGGTAATACATTAAGTATTAACCTTAAGAAAGACTTGTAACCTCTGGTAACTCTCAGGAGACGATACTGGTAATAAATGTACTGTCACTTGTACAGATCAGACTATACCTCCTCTGGTGTGATAAGCTTCTGTTGGGGGACACCCTTTTCCTCCTCGGGTGACTCCTCCTGAGTAAGCAGGCCTCTTTTGTACCGGAGAGTCTCAGCAAAGTCCTCTAGTTTATGGTAGGGGTGCTGGTCAGTACTTTCATCCACCTTATGGCCTCTCTTGTACCAGGCTGGATGGTAGTATCCTCTGTAAATCCATGGGGAACGCTTCTCATAGATGTCACCTTTGTTAAGTAGACGTTCCTGCAACTCATTCTTCTTTTTTGTTAGGTACCTCAACGCAGCCTCCCTGTCCTGCTTCTCCTCTGCAGAACTCTGGTGTCCTTTCTTCAGCTCATCTTCCTCCTCTTGGCTGGTTAAGTGATGCCTCTTTTCATTAAGCTCATAAACAATTTCTTCTTCCTCTTCAGGTGAATGTCGCTTGAGGGCATTGTCTGTTGAGTCATGGAGACTGTGAGTCTTCTCTGAGATGAGTTCGTCTTCATCCTTGAGCTCTGTTGAGTCGCCACGCTTGTGATGAAGCTTCTTATGGTGATATCTGTGTGTAGGCTTCCAGATCCTTTTATCCATTTCCTCACTTTCCTCTGAGTCCTCATACCTTTTTTCCAGGGGTCTTTCCTCATAATCCTCTTCAGATGAGTCCCGTTTGTGGTGCTTCTTATGGTGGTATCTATGGGTGGGTTTCCAGTATCGCTTTGCGGTACCCTCGTCTACCTCTTCTGATTCTTCAGACCTCTCTTCCCTTGAGTTTAAGTCCTCATTATTATGCTTGTTCAGCAGGTCTTCATTTGGTTTGTAGTGCCTGCCATCCCCATGGCTCCTTTTTTGGCTGAAGCTTGGGAAGTCTTCTTGACTTCTGTCATAGTCTGGTTCTTCAAAATCCTCATTCTCACTGCGTTTGTGGTGCTTTTTCTTGTGGTGGTATCTATGTGATGGTTTCCAGATCCGCTTCTCTCTTTCCTCACTCTCCTCATCCTCTTCTTCTCCATCCCCATGGTTTCTTTTGTGGGTGTAACTTGGGAAAAATTCTTGGCTTCTATCATAGTCCGGCTCTTCACGTTTTTCTCTGCTGGTCAGAAGACGACTCCTTTTATATTCATATAGAGGGAATTCCTCCTGGCTGCGCTCCTCATCGGGATTATCACGCTTGTAAAGGACAGAAAAATGTCTTTTCTGGGGAAATTCCTCTTGGCTTCTCTCATCGTCGGGATCTTCCCTTTTATGCTTGTTGCCTCTTTTATAGAAACTTGGGAACTCTTCCTGGCTCCGTTCATCATCCAGTTCATCACGTTTTTCTTTCATTCTTCTTTTCATAAAACTTGGGAACTCTTCCTGGCTTCGTTCATCATCCAGTTCGTCGCGTTTTTCTTTGATTCTTCTTTTCATAAAACTTGGGAACTCTTCCTGGCTTCGTTCATCATCCAGTTCATCAGGTTTTTCTTTGATTCCTCTTTTCATAAAACTTGGGAACTCTTCCTGGCTTCGTTCATCATCCAGTTCATCACGTTTTTCGTGGATTCTTCGTTTCATAAAACTTGGGAACTCTTCCTGGCTACGTTCGTCATCCAGCTCCTCCCGTTTGTTAGCTTTGAGAAGATCCTCAATGAGTTCCTCCTCCTTGACTTTAGACTCTCCTCTTGGCTTTTTAAGCTCCTCTTGAACTGGTTCTAGAGTGTCTTCCTCCTTTTTCACAACTGATGAATGACCTGATCCTAAATTCATGGAGAGATTAAAATTGGCACAAAACACTCATGCAAATGATTTGTAAATCATTTTCACTCCATTGCTTATGCATTGCATGAAAACATCCAATTATTCCACAGTCTTAGAGTGAAACCACTGACCCGAAACTGTCTCATCCACCAAGCACGATGTACTGAGGTTAGAAACTGTGACAATGATGTAGTCTGACTGTTATCAAGTTATATGCCCAAATGATACATTTAATGGATTTAGATGTAAGATCAAACGGAGTTGTGCAAGAATAACCTGGATAAGAATTCTCCAATGAAGTTGTTAACAAATAAATGAAACTTTCTCCTCAATAACACAATGAAGCAACACAGTGTGAACAGTGCAAAGTAACGTACCTGGTGTAAGGATGTTTTTGCATTCTGGATGCAGCGGAGTATCATCGGTCTTATACAGCGCCTTTGAAAGGATGTGAACTAAACACTGGATAAGCTGAAATTAAAATACATACTTTAACCAAAAGGAGTAAAACAAGAAATGCATTGTTTGTTTTTTTTCTTACGGACATAGAAGCTACAGCATACCAGGTCCTCTCTTTGGCTGTCCTGCTCGACTGGCATGGACTCTCCATCTGGGATAGTAAAAGCCTTGAATTATATTTGTGCAAATCACAATGCAAAAGCTTATTCATCTCGATATCACCAATTATCCATACGTTTTACTCGTGCAAAACCCGCTTAAAGCAAATTCCCCTCGTGATCTACTATTCGTTCCGCAGCAAACGGTTTTGTCGCTGACCATGGTGCTGAAATGATTTATTCAATGATTCTTTGTGTACATTAAGATTATTTCACTTACCTGCAGCGAAGAAAACAACCAAGCAGACTAAAGCCGCAAACTTCATGATGCACACAGATGTTTTCTGCTCTTGATGTTATCCGGAACGGCTCTTGTCTTTTGCAGTCTTAAGCAGCAGAGAGGAGCTCCGTTTCGCGTGCTGCAGCTCAGAGCGCGCGCTGCGTCTGTTTTGAGCTCGCGGTGGGACACGCAGGGTCTGAGCTGGTGAGTTTGTGGGTTGCTTACGTCACGACCAATGTGAACCCTTAATGAGACTTTAATGAAATTTTCTGATCTGTGATCATGTTTTATTCATATTCAGCTTATCGCCTTCCAGCCCAAGATTGTTAGCCTATGTGTCGAGTTACATAAAACAGTATAGAGTATATAAGTGTGAAAACTAACCCTGGTCTTCCCTATATATTTTGTGACTTATTTTATAAATCTCATGTGACCCTTCCAGTCATACGTGATCTTGTGTATTACAAAGAAAAATACAATACCAGCAACTCAATAAGAAGTCGTTAAATTCCTGCAAGATCCTGCAGTACTATATTATTCATTCAATTAATTGTTCATCCTATCTAAATAATGCTTATTGTTTCAGCTTATCGCCTTCCAGCCCAAGATTGTTAGCCTATGTGTCGAGTTACATAAAACAGTATAGAGTATATAAGTGTGAAAACTAACCCTGGTCTTCCCTATATATTTTGTGACTTATTTTATAAATCTCATGTGACCCTTCCAGTCATACGTGATCTTGTGTATTACAAAGAAAAATACAATACCAGCAACTCAATAAGAAGTCATTAAATTCCTGCAAGATCCTGCAGTACTATATTATTCATTCAATTAATTGTTCATCCTATCTAAATAGTGCTTATTGTAAATTATTGTAGGCTATATAATTGAATAAACAGTCTCCTATGAAATCGGACGGAATGTTGTGCAACTCTCAGACGCCCACTTCGTTCATGGTTGATGTGTGTCATGAGGGAATTGTGAAACTGCAAACTAATGTTTGGTACAGGTGCTCTGAGTTTCAGCAGAAGGATTGCACCTGGGATGCTGTAGTTGCTGTGGTAACGGAACCGTCACGGGGCAGTCGGAGTTTTTAAGAGCTGCAGAATGTTAAACGAGAGGCTTTGATTTATCATCCACTCAAACAGAACAAGGGAAGAGCCACATTTCAGTCTTGTCAAAACCAGACAAGGGCACCAGTGACGATGTTTTCTGGTTCACGAGTGAGGAGCAACAGTAATTTGCCATTAAATTTTCATGTGACAATTCAATTAAGTAACGGACAGTACGTGTAATCAGGCACGTGCAGAGGGGGGTGCAATGGGTGCTTGAGCACCTGCCCCTTTTCCCCTTGATGCCCAAAGTGCCCTTTTGTCAAGGCAAATTTTTTTTTTTTTTAATTAAACGCCATTTTGTGAAGGCCTGCCCAATCTAACTATTAGTAAAATGAATGAATAATAATTTAGTCGTAAATAAAATTATCCACATGATGATGACCTTTCACCTGACGATCTCATCTGGGACGATCCCTCACGTTATCTGTACTTAATTTTTTTTAACCTTATTTAGTAGTCTTATAAAAAAATATGTTTTATCAATTTAACTGCATATTTATTGAACTACATATTTTCCATATCATCTCTTCTTAGTGTTGACTATAGTCACTATTAAAGTTTGTCTTTCATTTTCTTAATGCCTCTAGTGCTTTAGGATGTTTTGTGCTGATTATAACAGTTTGTACAAAATATAGGCTAATTATTCACCTTAAGAGTTTAGTCATTTACTGTTACATTTATCACAGTACATTTGTAGTTATCAAGTGTGGGTGTTAGAGATTTAACACCTTTTGTGTATTTCTAGTTTTATTGTATATGAATTAACATTTAATTGACACAGATAACGACTATAAAGATGTATAATTTCAGATGTTTAAACATTCTCTTAATCAAAAACTCAAAACTGTTTCTTATGAGTACTAACCTTGCTGTTTGGCATTGCACTTGGCATATGAGATATCTGACTGAGCTATTATACTGTCAGTTATGAGGCTGGCTCTGAGAAGCATTGATAAATGTCTTTTAATTAAAGACAGCATAATGAGTCTCTTGAATAAATGAGTGATTGCACAGCCCTGTCTCACCATATACTAATGGATTTCAACATGCACTATTGATTTGTTATAAACCAGAACACGAAGCAAGTAATATCTGTAGCATCCCGGTATTTATCACATTTATTGTCATATCTCTCTCCGTCCCCGGGGAAATCGGACCTCTGGCACGCTTGGAAAAAGAAAACACAACGTATCCATCATGCTTGTGAAGCTCGAATGCAATGAATTATACAGACATCTTGCCTCTAAGGCCGAAATCCCTGTTCATAATTTATTGAGTCAAAAAAAGAGTAAAGCTTTTATGAGTTAAGCATAGTGCTGCGCATATGTAGACACGATAAACAGGGAGAATAAGATGCAGGGTGCAAAGTGTATCTAGTGCATACTAGCTGATTTACTAATTGAGTTGGGCTCAGATGGGTCCCCAGAATATTATCAGGTTTGTTTGGCTTTAATCAAAGTCATTTGCATGCAGAAACAAAAGATGGTGGCTAGCAGAAGATTCTGCACTTTGAGGGCTTTACTGGCTTTGATCTTCTCCTTTTTGGATCCTCGGCATCATAAAACGAGCTATATTGCTGAATTTATATTGAATATTGCTGGTGGTCTGAGGTTGTATAGTGAATATATTGTGTGACAGCTTCCTCGTGAAATTCCAAAGCGCTTTGTCAGCATGCACACAGCATATATGTCAGATATTATATGTCACAGTCTATAAAACAGTATGGCACAGAAATAGCTCCTGTTCTCTTATATAAACGCATATTGTACACGCACTCACTTTCTTATGCTAAAATGCTATATGAGCATTAATTAGTTACTTTTTGTATGTAGTTTTGCGACTTTGGCGCCCCCTGCAGTCCAGCGAGTGGAATTCACTGTCGTAATTACAGTGTACAGCTGATTTTTTATTTTTTTATTCTTCTTTTATTATCTGTGTTTTTGTTCTGTCGCTGTCATTCTGTTGCACTGCGGAAGCTTCTGTCATGAAAACAAATTCCTGGTATGTGAAAACATATCTGGCAATAAAGCTCATTATTCTTCTTCTTCTTCTACACATGGATTTGTTGCTGCCGTAAAGCAATCCGCTCTTTTCGCGGTATTTCGTACCAGCTCACTAAACTTAGGCCTACTTTCTTCCATATCGGTTGATATGCCCATAATTAATCTAACTGATACAATATGTGGTAAAATCAGTTCTCTCACAGTCCAAGAATAACAAATCTATTCGCTCTCTATTTCTAAAGGAAGTTGCCACTAAGTCTTGCTCTATTGCTTATTGGTCCAAATTAGTTAATAATCTAAGGTGGGAAAGTGTTTGTTTATTGCCTCACAAGTTTTTTGTTACAAACAAGGTAAAATAAATCTCTTTCAAAATAATTCATAAATTCTATCCTGTTAAACATTTTCTCAGTAAGTTTAAGAAGGATATTGATGTTGCTCTTTTTGCTCTTTGCACATGGAAACAGTCCCCCACATTTTCTGTCATTTTAGTTTTGTGAAAAAGTTATGGTATGATGTCTCTATGTTTATCAAAGAAAAGGTACTCTTTCCACATTCATGGTTTTCTAACAAAAAGCGCTGTTTTACAGTGGTTTGTAAAGAATTGGAAAACTATTTTTGTACTATTCAATATAGTACAAATAGAAAGGCAAATAAAACGGTCCACTTGTGTTCTATCTTCAAAATCTTTGAGTGATATAAAGGTCCTGCATGTCTGTGATTGTAATTTATTTATTTCTTTTTTTTTTTCTTCTCTCCGTTGTTCCCCTGGCTTCATAATGTCGTACTGTTTTGTTTTTGTCGTTTAAAGCATAACAAAAACTTACATTCTTCCAAAACAGACGTTTGGGAATGAAAACAGAAGCCATTGGCCTTATTAGAAATCAGTGTGCTATCATAATGAACTTGCATTTCAAGGTAAAAAAAAAAAAAAAACGTACATATCCCACAGTTGCTTAAATTGAGGATTTTATCACAAACTGCTTCAGATATGACACTTGCAAAATATTATAATACTGTATTTGTTGGTTTTAACTCCTTACAAGTATAAGAGTTATTCATGGATTCACAATATCAAATAATATATTTCATGCACCCAATTTACAAGTCTTTACTGTCATGTTTGATCAATTCAAAGCATTCTTGCTGAAAAAAATATTGATTTATTAAACAAAAAAACTTTTTACAGTAGTATTTGAATTAGGCTGATCATGCAGGTAATTGTATGTGTTTATTGATGTACCACAGAAACTGATCTGAGAAATACATACTTATGTGTGAGAGTTGAAGCATTCAATGACTATAATAGAGAAACTGAAGTAGACAGTAGAAGTGCTCAGTAGAGAAGTTATGCTCCCTTTACCCACTGAAATCACTTTTATATTTCATCCAAGACACAGGCAGCAGTTTCAGGTCAACACAGCAAACTTACTTTGGTGCAGTATGTGAGCATCTGGAGAGAAAGACTGGAGCTGTCTGTAATAGTGTGTGGAGGGTTTATTGAATAGAAATGTTGACACTTGGGAACAAAAGGTCCATGAAGTGGGAGCAATACAATGTAGAGAGTTTTTCATTCTTGCAAGAAAATAGTTATCTCATAAAAAAAAGGAAAAAAAAGGAGTTATGGATCCAGACATATCCAAAGGGGTAAATTAATGCTGCAAATAAATGGTTCATTTGAGGACTAGAACAAAATAATAATAATAATAATAATAATGTGTAAGTCTAAAACTTTATAAATTAATTCAACTTCAAATAACAGGACAAAATGTTAGTAAAATAAAAAAGCAATCTCTCTCAAAAATACAATATATTAAAAATGTATATAAATATAAAATAAAAAATATAGATAAAAACAACTTTAATGTTGGCTACATTGTACTGTGACAATATCCAGAAATCTTTCAAAAGTCTTTAAAGGTCAGAATCGTATAGTTTTACTTTTTCAGCAGAGATGACTAAGTACCAATCCATCATTAAAAATGGAATCCCTGACACTTTTATTCAGGTACTTATATTATTATTCACAGCAGACTTACAACATGTTATCAGCACACTGACAAGGCAATGTATCACCATAATAAGTGCAATAAACTACTTTATACAATAAAATGCTTAATATTTTTGCTAAACTTCTTCTTTCAGTCGATTTTCTATATTTTGAGTCAATGCTCATGTCTATAATCAACACACATATGTGATTAACATTTTTGTAGGGAAAATTCTAATATTAAATATTTTGAATTATATATATATATA